TTTATTTACCCTTATCCTAGGGAACATGCGGTATGAGACCGACCATTAGTCGGTGGACTAAATTGGAAATCTTGATAAAGGTGCTGAGTTTTACGTAAACACATTGTTTTAACCAATGTATACTGTTGGTATATTAAAATACTAGTAGAATAATGTGAACCACAGACCCTTAAATGTCATTTCAGTGTTTACCTCAAAAAATCTCCCCTAACCTAAGCCCACAGGTTTAGGGTAGGTGGATAGCCTGTACTTGGTGTGACCTTGTACTTTTTGGGCTGGACCACTAGTCCACTAGTACCCAAACATTTATACAGTGTACTTCTAGCAAACACACAACCATCACATTTGACACAACCATCACATTTGTTAAAAAAAAAAAAACACAATAATAATAACTTTCAAAAATAAACTAAAATACTCCCCCCCCCCCCCCCCCTCAATTTAAATGTAATTTTTAAAAAGTAAGAATTTTTAAGAGAATAAGTAAGATATGTCTTGCCTCCTTGAAAAATTATTAATTTATCTTTTTAAATTTTGAATATTCAAATTTATGTAAAATATATTATTTATAAAAAAAAAGTGATAATTATTTTGGGACAAATTAAAAAAAAAAATGACATTTTTTTTTTATTGGGACAAAGGGAGTAACAAAATTGTCATGTCATTATTAATTTTGACCTTGTTAAATGACTATCATACTTTTATTAGTTTAATATATATAGACAAAATAATGTTTTTTAACTTTTTAAGGACATTATTAAATTTTAAATATAATAAAAGTCATACTTTACTCGAACCTGAATCAGAGGAAAAATAAGTATTATGTTTAGAATTAGAGGAGAGTTCTAAAGCTAATTTAGGGAAGATTGGTGTAATTATTATGAAATTTTAATATAAAGATAAAAATTGCCTAATATATATTATCATCTTCTAATCGGATTATTTGTTTTAAGATGATATAATTATGCTTACTTATATAGTATTTGAATATTTATGATGAACAAAATTATATTTGATGCAGTTAATATATGTGCCTAAGTCCCCAGAGGTTTAGCGGTGTTGACAAAGATTCATGAAGTAAGTTACTGAGATCTCATTTTCAAATTACATTCCTAACTTGAATGGTGCGCATGTTGTGAAATTAATACACGTTTTTTAAGAGATGTATATATATGCGCGCGCCTCTAAGGCAACAATTATCAAAAAATGAAAGCTAAAATAACCATGGTCAATTGGTGTGAGTGATCTTCACAAAGGGGTTGAGCTTTGTGGTCCAGAATAAAATATGACAAAAGTTATGGGACTAGGTGCTGTTTGCTAAAATTGAAAGGATTAACATCATAAAACATCTACTATTTTTAAATTTTCATCATAAAATTTTAATTTACTTCAAAAAATTTCTAAACTTTTAAAAAGTGATCATATTTCTTCAATATCTATATCCAACCCATTAACCAGGATATGAAATAACAAATTTAACCTTACTATTTAATGTTAAATTTAAAACTAAAGTGTATTTTTATAATTTAAAAAAATAGTTTTAAATTTTTAATTTAACATTAAATAGTAAGTTTAAATTTATCATTTTATAGTTAGGTTAACGGGTCAGATAAAAATACTGCGGACTATGTGATCACTTTTTAAAAATTGTAGAAATTTTCTACACTTTAGCTTAGTGGATTTGGTGTGATAGTCTAGTGGTAGGGCATATGTTATTTGTGGTCAAAGTTCGAATCCCCACTCCATCAGTCAGTATTAATAAATAACTGTTTAATTAAATTATTAAATTATCAAAAAAAAAAAAAAAAAGTGTAGAAATTTTCTAAAACATGTTGGGGTATTATGATTTTAACCCTAACTAAAAATTATTTACTACCAAAATTTGAAGAGTTGAATTTTAAGTGTTGATGTTTTAAAATTAAGATTTTTTAAAAATCTTTTTGAATTTTAATTGTTAGTGATAAAGTGAAATTATTCACATTTAAATTTTATTTTATTTTATTTTAAGTGAGGTCTACTTTTAAGGTAATATATAAATTGCATTATTAAATACATTTAATTAGATAAATATAATACTTAATTCAAAAATTAAGTGTTAAATTGTATTATGAAAATTTGGAGGATGATGGTACACTTGATATCGGCCCACAGGTTGGATAAGGTAAGGTATCTTTTCGCATGAAAAATGATTTGACTGAGACAATAGATAAAAAAAACTAGGTATATATGAATTTCAGGTGAAACATTCAAGCATACAATCTTACTATAGGGGGTATGAAATTATGAATTAAAGTTTTTTCATATCAACTTCAGGCTATCTTGTACTTTAAATGTACATCACGTGGCTTGTTATTATTCACTTTTCTTCATATCGGTACTGTGTTGATTTCCTCTCTATACGTGTGTGTTTGTTTGTGTGCGTGTTTGCGTGTTAAGTATGAACATTACTTCCACGACTTTTTACCTACAATTTTTTGTTCCGTCGGTGATTGGTCGGAACTAATCGTTTCGGGTCTATTTAAATTTTTATCTTAATAAGGTATGGGACATATAATTTGAGTATTTAGCTTCAACTGCATTTATTAATGAGACTTTTCATTTATGTTGCATTTGAGAACATCAAATGAACACCTTAATTTTGAAATTAGAATAAATTTAATTTAAGATTGTAATCATTTTTTATTATTATTTTTTTTTTGTTTTCCCTTTTAGGGAATAAAAAGCCCATAATAGTTCAGCATTTTCACTCCCTAGGCTCCAAAGGTTTTCATTGTGCTTGTGTATAAAATGTAAAAATTCAGAGTAGGGTTAGACAAATAATAGTTCATATTTATAGATTTAATATAGTAGACTTCAAGATCAATGGATTATCAATATGTATTAGTATATGTTTGAATAAATTCAATTAGCACTTAATTCGTATTTGAAATAATGTTAAAAACTTAGTTATTATATAATTTCTCATAAACAATTCGTCAAAAACTTTTTAGAGTAGAGTAGAGAGATCTTTCACTAAACAAGTCTCTCACATATTTAGCACAATCTTAATGGACATGTAAGTTGGACTGAGCTGAAAAATGGACCCCAACCCATGATGATTAGGACTGGTACAACCTACAACTCTTGTGGGCTAATTGGAGCCCAATCCAAAAAAAAATCAGTTTGGACAGTGTTATTTACAATTCGGTACAGACTTAACCCAAATTCATTTTGGTCCGATCAAATCCATGGGTGGGACACGGTGAGTCCTGAACCTGTTCTGATTATGCTAGCCCGTGGAACCTAATCTGTGAACCCAATTAGATGTAATTATAATTTGGTTGCTTGGAGAGAAGCAAACGAACTCCCCCTCCTTATAAAGCCATTTGGCCTTAGAATGGCTAGGATCTATCCACTATAGAACTCTATACAATTCTAAACAGTTCAAAATTACTTTAGAGATTTGAATGGCTAGGATCTATCCACTATAGAACTCTATACAATTGTAAACAGCTCAACACTACTTTAGAGATTTTCGAAAGGGTTCGCAATTATGTAGAGAAGTCTAAAAGAATATATGTATTTGTTGAGGATTGAGCTCAATATTTTTGTCAATTGTTGTGTTGAAGTGTGGTACTGGGCCTATTGGCATTACTTTTTAAACTGAAATTTCAATCCGGCCCCAATAAAACTTAAATTTATAAATTTAAAGAATGATTCGGCTTAGATTAAAGATTGGGTAAGTTTAGTTTAAACATTTCATCTATCGGGAATCTGTGTTCTACCTCCAACCAACCTAATTTGCAAGTTGTAGCCCTAACCATCATATTCCAATGTCTAAAAGGAAAAAATTTTGAAGGTTGAAGAGTCTTCCATTGAACAATCTGATGCGATTTTCTAATTTACTTCTGGGACACAATAAAAATAAAAATAAAAATAAAAATAAAAACCTTCACAGGGATTGATTGATTTCATTAGGAGCCCTTTTGAATAGAATACATTACACCTACTTAATTATGTGCCGAATCTGACATAATTTGGCAACAAATCAAAGGGCATGCGGAAGTTTAAAAAATCTTGTATTAGATGTGATGTAAACAAGTGATAACTGTGTTTGGTTTGGGGATGAATGTAGGGAAGGAAGGGGAAAATAGAAGTAAAAGGGGGGTGGAACTCTACCTGTTTGGCAGGGAGAGAGAAGAAGGGCAGGGAAGAGGAATTCTCCCTCTTCTATATATATATATTTTTCCCCACACAAAATTGAGAAGAAAAAAAAGGTAGGTAAGCATCTTCCTCCTCTCTTTTCTTTTCTTTTTCTTCTTCCTTCTTTTTTTTTAAAAAAAATAAAAATAAATACTATTAACGTCTTATTACCCCTTTCTTTCAACTCCACCAAAAAACAAGAGGATTAATAACATAAAAAAAAAATACTATTAACGTCTTAATACCCCGTTCTTTCTAACTCCCTTTCAACTCCACCAAAAAACAAGAGGATTAAAAAAAAAAATTACTATTAACGTCTTAATACCCCTTTCTTTCTCACTCCCTTTCAACTCCACCAAAAAACAAGAGGAAAGACTCTTTTTGCTTCAAGACCTCTCTTGACACTCATACCTTCCTTTTTCATCCAACTTTTCAACTTTTATACTTCTTATTCGAACATAAGTTTTTTGAAAATTCTAGCATAAATTTGTATATAGTAATTAAAAAAATAAAATAATAATCTCCATATCAAACCACACTAATTTTCTTATTCTTGTGATTATGTACCTATATGTATGTCTATATATGTGCTAGATCCATCTGTGAGTCGGTCAAGTCAGGTGAACTATGCCAAAGTAGTTGCTCCCGTAAAAGGCCACAGCAAAGTAGTTGCTTCTAAGCAACAAAAATTGACAAACTTGCCAAATTTCTGTATCATTAATCTTATTTCACATTGGACCCCAACTTAATTTTGTCAACAAGTATTTCTGGAAAGATTAATCTTCAACATTGAATCAATCACTTAAAAAATGGCATTCACAAGAACACGGTTTTGATTAATCCATGGACATAGTCACAGAGATCATATTTATTTTGAACAATTGAACATAATCAATTGAGTTATTGATAAAGCCTTGGAAACTTACCTAACAAAGTTCATCTGCTGTCCATGTTGAGTGTTGACCTTGTGCTTCAATTGAGATCGATGTCGATGCAATGGGGCTGTGTTTGTGTCAAGATAATGGAGAAGAATCACCATGGAAACCGAGGTAGCAAACATGGGTATTGGACCAAAAAACCATAGTAGCAAATTAATAGCAAAATAGAGTGATCTAAGTCCAAGTGACCAAAAATCACCACCCCTAATAACAGCCAATTCAACATTTCTGACAGGTATGTCACTGTCTGGTATACTTATTAGATAGTTTGCAAGAATGAAGGACCTTGTTGATTGCGTAAAGCATGAGAAGGCCAAGAGGAAGCAGATGAGGAGGCTTATGTACTTGATGGACATGGTGGATTGTCTGGTGTCGCCGTAAATGAATTCACTCTGGAAGATGTTTTGATTGTTCGAAATCCATGCTCCGATGAGAGAGCTAAGAGTTAGAGACACTGATGCTAAGAAAGATGCCGCGGATGTATTGGATGATAGCACTGTAAGAGCTACATCAACATCCTTTTTATCCGCCTGCAAAAACACACACACACACTAGTGAATTTAGCCAAGTATGAAGATGAGGGTAAAGATGGAAGGAAAGAGGAAGATAAATGGCCTTGCCTGCATAATTCTCTCAACCCAAGCTTTCTTGTCATTGTTTTCATAGCCAATGACAGTGGTGTGAGGAAGATTGAGGCATCTATAGAGGAGGTAGAGATGGTAACCAAACATTATGAGCAACCCAATTGGGACCAAAACCAAATCAAGGTCTTGCTTTTGGAAATTCATGCTGAGTGCAAGAGCTTTGTTTTTTTCCTTCTTAGATCTCAGTGAGAAGGGATTGCTTTGTGAGTTTGGATTTTAAGTGATTTCTTGAAGCAGAGATTTGACTTTTCTTAAATGTGCTGCAATAAACAACTTGCATTTCTTTATTAACATTCCAAATCCATATGGATATCCTCTTGACATTCAAAATACCGACCAACAAAAGGAGCTAACTTTTGATCTAAGGCAGTGAGAAGGTCCGTAATTGATTCATTTAAAGATACAGTGAGGTTTGCTAGCCATAGTCGTGCTGTGGCTCAATGGAATCCATCCGATTGATTGATCAACTAAAAAAATTGGGATTGATTGAGGAAACCATCACGGGTTGAATTCCCTCGATCAAATCAAATGGGGGAGTGTTAAGCCACATATCTTTTGTTTAGCCTATACGTTATTTTTTGACCCTGAATATGGAGTCTCTATGACATGCTGAAATTTATCATTTTTTACTGGTCCGAATCTGTACCAGGATGCTTCAATTTGACCCTGCAAGAATGGTTCAAGGAGCTTGAATCTTACGTTTCACGAAGCTGTAAAAATGAAGATTACAAAAACTGGAATGCTTTAAAGTCTTTGCGGGAAGATAAACGTGCAGAATTGTATCAATCAGCCAAAAATTGGAATTCTTATGAATTTGATTTTAATTAATCCATGGGCATAGATGTTTCATTTGAACAATGGAACATAATCAAACCTTACAAACTTTATCAACCAACATACTCACTCGACTCGACTGACTATACATTTAGAGCAATGATACAAGTCCTGACTCTCGAGAGTCGCGTCTCTCGCAAGACGTGTGGGCCCACTCCTCTTGTTGTGGTGGGACCCATGCCTCTTGTGGTGGGGGGGCCCACTCTTGCGAGAGCCACGACTGTCGGGAGTCCGGGCTTGTGTCATTGCTCTCCCCCATTTTGACCTTCTGCTTCACTGGAGATCGATGTGGATGCAATGGGGTGCTGTTTTTGTCATGGTGGTGAAGAATCAACGCCATCATAACTGAATTAACAAACATTGGTATTGGACCAAAAAACCACAGTAGCATATTGACAGCAAAATAAAGTGATCTAAGCCCAAGAAACCAAAAATCACCTCCCCTAATAACAGCCAACTCAACATTTTTGACAGGTATGTCACTGTCTGGTGTACTTATTAGATAGTTTGCATGGATAAAGGACCTTGTTGATTGCACAAAGCATGAAAATGCCGTCAGGAAACAACTGAGGAGGCTTATGTACTTGATGGACATGATGGATGGGCTCGTGTCGCCATAAACCAATTTGCTCTGAAAGATGTCCTGGTTGTTCGCGATCCATGCTCCGATCAGAGAGCTAAGAGTTAGAGAGACTGATGCTAAGAATGTTGCCGCGTGTATATTGTTTGAGAGCACAGTCAGAGCTGTACCAATATCCCTATGATGAAGCTGCAAAAAATCACTAAAGTGTAAGTATATATAATGATCTAATGAATTATACATATAAGATGACAGACGAGAATAAATATATTAAGATGGAAGAAAATTAAATAAGTGGGAGATAGATAGTGTTGCATGCCTGCATAGTTCTCTCGACCCAAGCTTTCTTGTCATGGTTTTCAAAGCCAATGACAGTGGTGTGAGGTAGATGGAGGCATCTGTAGAGGAGGAAGAAATGATAACCAAACATGATGAGCAACCCACTTGGGACCAACACCAAATCAAGGTATTGCTTTTGGAAATTCATTCTAGATATCTAATTCTATTCAATTCTTTGTGTTCTAAGTTATCAGAGTACTGCAAGGTCTAATTTTTGCTTCTTAGATCTCTGTTAGAACAGAGAGATTGGTTTTGATAGTTTGGTTGTTATGTGATGTCCTAATTAAACCAGATTTATTTGACTTTTTCTTTACCACTACAAGTCTTTCAACCATCACATAATGTTCGGCTCCCAATTTGGTGGGTTTGTTTTGGGACACTAAAATGTTATTGTTTCTTAATTAAATGGGCTACAAAAAAAAATTACACTTCTTGCATTCTTCTTTTAATTCCCCACTTCATATGGATCCTTCTTGGCGACAATATAAATACAGATTAACAATTAATAATTTTGAGAAGGGCTAGATGTAGGCAACTCTTATTCCAGCATGAAGAGGTCACAATGTATTTGTCTTAATTACTATGTTTCAGATAAATGAAATAAAGGGAGTGATTACCTTTTGTCTAACCTTTATAAGACAGGTTACTTTTAGACCCCTAATGCGCAGTCTTTGTGGCATGCTAAAATTTATCATTTTTATTAATTCTTATCAGATGATCCTATAAGAATGGTTCGATCAATGGACTTGAGCCTAACGATTCATGAAGCTGTAAAATACACATATATATTAGCAAATATACAAATGAAGAATTTAAAAAATTGGGGTGGTATTTTTATTAATTCTTAGGAATATGATTTTTCAATAACTTAAACGGAGCTTTTAGTTTCTATAACATTAAGGGTCAAATAAAAATTTATTCTATGTAAATCCTATGGAATGTGAAGAGGTTCTGGTTTGGGGAAAAATCATTCAATTTCAACATTCCCTCAAATTTCAACCCAATCAACTCATACATAAAAGATAAATTCACCTATTAACTGTTTTTCGAGTAAAATTTTCAAATAATCATAAGAGGATTCACAAATTTATAACAAAATCCATGTTAGGACTAGGAGTTGATCATGTAAAAGACACCCACATGTCCACATAATTTTCATCTAGAGATCAATAGAAAGTAACCTTTATAAAACTGTTGTCCATTTCAATCACATTGCAATGACATGAGAGCCTGGAATATGCTCACAATGAACTATGTCAATATAAATACACAAATGTATATTTATATTCGTGCATAAATATATACACAACATGAATCATTGAAGGATAAGACAATGATGTTTAAATTATACATATAGAAAGATGGGTTAGGCAATGGTTGGTGCCCTAAACAAACACTCCTAGCACCATTGATCCTAGACAGCGGACATATCTTCAAGTCTTTTACTCTAGTTTCTGTTATTTACAACCCCAACCCGGACGACAAAACTTACAACCAAAAAATGGAAAAATGCCCTGAAAGAATACAGAACCAGGCTGCTTGAATCAGGACATTTCAAATAGGCAAAAATGTCCAGAAGGAAAAATGTTGGTTCATACAACTCTGTCCGCAAAGGACACATTGTGGCCCTTGGAGTTGGCTCTTTTTAGACTCTTTGAACCTTGAGAAGAATTGTTGTAAGTAGATGGAGAGGAACCGGGCTGAGGAGAAGGTGTTTTAGAACAACCTGTGCCTGAAGATGGAGCTTTAAGGATTCCTTTCAAAGGCTTTTTCGTCGAAGAAACCACGTGATCATCATTGCCTGCAGCACCATCTTTACCTTTGGATTCAACCTGAACATCATCATCATCATGATGATCATTGCTATTCTTAGCTTGAAATTTAGGAAATCTAAACAAATCCATTTTATTCACAGCCAAACTTTTGTTCTTCGAATCCACTAATTTGTTTTTATCCTTTGGATGCAAAAGCATCATCGCAATTATACTAGAAATGAAAAGTTCACAAATTCCAATCTTGATCTGCTCGTGTCTCTCATATGACCAAGCCTCGGTAAGTCCCACCATTTTGTTGATCCGAAGAACTCTACGTGCCAATTCTGCTAATTCGCACTTTCGAAGCTTCGGGTCATTAAGAAGCTTGGCAGCCAAATAACCTACGTCTGTTTTGGTCTTTGTCAATCCCAATTTCTCAAAGGGAAACAAATCATTTTTTTCATGAACTCCAAAACCCACGAAACAAATCCTCTCATCGGTGAGAAATTTGATGATGGGATCAGGCAACGTTTCATTCAGGTGGAACCGAATGATGACACAACCTATTCCAAGACACAAGAGCAACAGCCCGGTGTTTGGGTCCCGAGGATGGGGCATGACATCTACACCAACAATAGGGCGGTGAATCCAAACCCTCCCTTCAGGGAAAAGGAAGTCCATGCTGCATAGAGATTCAAACTCTTGTACCTTGAAGGTCATGCCTTCAAGTTTAACTTCGAACCTATCGGTTCTCAGGAACACAGTTCCCACCATCGCGAGCTTTGAAGATTCTTCCTACGAAGCAGCTCAAGATTATCTTTGGTTTAGACAAGAACAACTTAAGTTACCATCAACTTGGCATGGAAATTGTCACATATAAATTTGGCATGAAATGTGGTTACATAAAACAACTTTCTATTTTTGGTTGTAAGCCAGTTTAAGATTTGACTCATGGGTGTTACATATGGCAATAACTTCTAGAGAGTTCTATTGTTAGAGAGAGATTTTAAGGTTCATCTCAATTCAAGCCTACTTTCAAGGGTTACATATGAACCTCTGCCACTAATTTAAGAAGATTCTCTTTTCCCATCTTTGGTGTGTTTTTTTAATCTTGTTTTCAACTACATTAGTCAAATAAAGTCTTGAATATAAGAAAGCCAAGTGTAATGAGGTAATTAACATGCCAGTTGTGCATGTCCACACGGCATAAAATCCTTGCAATTACACATTCTCTAACAACTACTTGTTTTAGTTAGTCAATAATTAAAAACATTATGAAATCAAAATTTCATAAACAGAAAGCACAGATTAAATACCTTTCAGAAGATACATATGGATTGTTAACCATTTACACAGCAATTTATAGTCTAAACTCTAAGGGCTAACAAAAACATCGTTGAAAATATATTTGATTAATAAGAATTACTCATATATATACCTCAAGGGAATGTAATGTAACTTATCACCCAAAAACAAAACTTAATGCTCTCACCGAATGTTACAAATAATCAAAAAGTTAACAAAATGAACAATGAGTTTGTTACTGACCTGTATTTGTGAGATGATTATGGTTGAAAAGTGAAAAAAATTTGCCTTCTTCTGCACCCCACTTAGTAGCTAGAGTTCCTCGGTTTGTTTAACTTTGTGGTTCGTCTCATGATCACCGTGAGAAAACGAACGGCACTTCAATTGCTGACAAATCAATAAATGTACCTACACCAAGATACAAAATGAAGATCAACCAATACTATTTGCATATACACACAAATGTGACTTTATTTTTACCTTTTTGATCTTGGAGAGAATGAAAATGATCAAAAACTTGTAGCAAATGAATCAATGAAATAGATCTACACTCAAATTCAAGTCCTTGCAAGATCATTCACTGGTTTTAACAGAATTGAAAAAAGAAATGCCTTATATTTCATTTGGGAAACGTCACTGATTTCAATTCTCATCTGACACTACCAAAATTCAAACAAACATAATCAGAGAACAAAGCACAAATTCATACACAAAAAAAATGGCGCAAACACTAACATACACAAAACAAAGAGAGATGAGAAATTATGAAACCAAATACCAACACAATAGAAACAAAATGCTGAAATTTCATTAAGGAAGATTAAAAAAACAAGGGCCAACTTCAACAGTAAAAGTAGCTGCTAACCAATTACATAAACAAAACCCTAGAACCAGGCACAAGAGACGATCTCCTAACAAGTTTATACAAAAACCACCAACCACACGGACCACACAACTTCAAGCACGCTCGCCCCTGATACGACGAGCTAGCTGGATATCCTTGGGCATGATGGTGACACGCTTGGCATGAATTGCACAGAGATTTGTGTCTTCAAAGAGACCAACCAGATAGGCCTCAGCGGCCTCCTGAAGAGCAGCGACGGCGGAGCTCTGGAAGCGGAGGTCAGTCTTGAAGTCTTGAGCGATCTCACGAACAAGACGCTGGAATGGGAGCTTCCTGATGAGGAGCTCAGTGGACTTCTGGTACTTCCTGATCTCACGAAGCGCCACTGTGCCTGGCCTGAAGCGGTGGGGCTTCTTGACGCCACCGGTGGCGGGGGCAGACTTGCGGGCGGCCTTGGTGGCGAGTTGCTTCCTAGGGGCCTTGCCACCGGTGGATTTGCGTGCTGTTTGCTTTGTACGAGCCATTGCAGAGAGAATTGGAGGGTTAGGGTTTTCTTTGAATTACTCGAAAGTTAGGGTTTTGATGTTGGGGATGATGAAAGATGTGAATTGGTGGGGGTGATTTATAGAAAGTGTTTTTGAAATTTGTGGCGCGACTTGAAAAAATGAGAAGTGATCGAAACCGTTGGTTGGGTTTTTGTTGTAGGTTTGTTATCGACGGTTCTTGTTTAATTTAAAGGATGGTCGCGGATAGATGACGTGGTTGTTTTTCTTTTAGTTCTTATGGAGCTAACAGATGTTTGTGGCCGTTGCTTGAGTTTTTTATGGACGGTCGTGATTGGGGAGGTTGCGGATCGATGACGTGTGTGTCTCTGTTTCTACGTTTGTGGGGAGTATAGAAAATTAACGCTCCAGTATTTGTCAATCGGTTGCTTGTTTTGTTTTATTTTTTTTTTTTTTTTTTTGGGGTTAAGTGCATTAAACTCCTCTCAACTATAATCCAGTTGTAAAAAATCCCCTGAAGTAAGTAAAACTTCCTAAATTATCATTTTGTTGCACTCCGTCAAGAACCGTCAAGGAGCCGTTAATAGAAAATGAAAATTACCATTTAACCCTTTGCGTTGAATTATTTTTTTTTAAAAAAAAAATTATTATTATTATTATTTTTGGATAGGCTGATGTAACAATTATAATCTCTATGTCCAATGAAAATTGGCCAACTCAGAATTATTTTATTGAAGTGGACAAAAATAATTCTCCACCAATAAGAGAATGACAACTCAATTAGTGGAGAATTATATATATATATATAAATTGTAATTCTTTTCTATCGGCAGCCACCACCACCCTCCTCTCTGTGTCCATCTCGTCAATAATATTTCTTGGGGCCAACAAGAAATTGAAGGAGATGAGAGGAAATTGTGAAGTAATAACATCAAAATATCAAAATGGGTTCCAATTTAAATAGGTTTTATATTGGGATTGATCGGATTTGATACATGTCTCTCTCCATTTAATTATGTTATTTGTTATGGTCGGAGATCGGCAAACATAGACGGTTGACCTTTTTCCGACGGAATTAATCTGAATTCACTGTTCAAAGAGCATTAGTAATCACTGCAAATTGTTTATTATATAGCACCTTGGAAATATGTTAAGAACAATCATTTCCCAGATATAAAACTCTTAAAGCAGGGAAGATAAATTATTATTTATAATCCAAGCACCATTCAAAACCAGACCATTCTCGTAGTCTTTGCTATCAAAATCTCATACATCCATAATTGGCCTGAAGAAAGAAATCATTTTCACCATTGAGAGCATCATATGCTGAGAACGAACCCAAGAAATTGCAAACGAGGACTTGGTCTTGAGTTTGGATATATATATATATATATATATATATATATATTCATCATATCCCAAGAACCCCCAAATTTGAAGCCCTAATTTTCAGTCTCAGCAAATCCTCTCTCGTTCGCCATTGATTTTCAGCAAATCCTTCTCATTTGCTCTCAAATCTCCATATTCAGGTGACTCGATCTCAAATCTCCATATCCAGTTCAGTTCCATTGCTCATCGGTAAGCTCACCGGCATCTTACAAATTCATTGCCACCATTGCCGTAAGTCATTGAAGCTTCGCGACTCCTACAGTCGTTACCGCCACCGTTCTGATCCGCGACCATCATTAAGAACAATCGTCGTCGTCCCGTGGGTTCATCCTCCCTTGCTGCCGCCATTTCAGTTTAACTCACTACCGTCTGCCCATGTGGTTCAGCACCACCATCGCGAATAGTCATTGTGTTCTCCGGTAAGCTCGCCATCGCCGAGCACCTCTGTCACTACCGCTGCAGAACAAACCCACTTCTCACCGGTATTGAAGTTCTTGTAGTTGCCGGAGTTGGAGGCCAAAGAGAGGGAGGTGGATTGGGAAGAGAGCGATTATGGTGGCGGCCGTGGACGGTGAGGTGGTTGTGAGGGAAAAATATTCAGTGGGGGAGAGAACCGTGGCGGTGTCGGTGGTGGCCATGGGCGAACGGTGGAGGTGATGGCCATGGATAGATGCTGTATGTTGTTTGAAGAGAAAGGACGGATATTGATTTTAACCTAGTTACGTGAGTCATGTGTCTTCTTTGGACGTTAGTTTTTAAACGGCCCACTAACGCTTTGCAACAATTGAAATAGTTTAGGGAGTTAAGTGTACTTCACTTAGTTCAGGAGGTTTTATTGGGAAAGGGAAGAAAGTTGAGGGGGGTTTAATGCACTTAACCTTTTTTTTTTTTTTGTTAAAATCGGTTGCTTGTTTGATAGTAGTATTTAAAAGCTTTTTCATTTAAAAAAAAAATTGAATTTAGAGGTGTTTGCTGATGAAACAATATACATATATATATATATATATATATATATATATATATACTGTTTTAAGGCGTGGAGTTTAATAAAAAATATATATATTTTTTTTATGAAGCTTGAAATAGAAGCTTTTTTAAATTGCATTTTTAGTAGCGTAGCGGTTATTGCGCATAAATAATTTTTATTCTTTTTGAAATAACAAACTATGTGAATGATAGAGAAATTCCACAAAAGAAAAATTAATAGTTCATCAATTATGAAAAAAAATAAATTAATAATTCATACAAATCACTTAATGAGAAATGCACCGAATAAATTCATTGCGTGACTCGTAATCATGTATATATAAAAAAGTAAATATCATGTCATTTTCTGACAAATCAAAGTGTTATAATTTCATGGACTAATAAGATTATCAAATGAATTTTAATTAATATATGTTATAAGGTTATTATAAAAAATATTTAAAAAAAGGAATCCCTCAATTACAGAATGGAAATTAGGAATTGAGTTCATTATATAGGATATCTAATTTTTTTTCTATCAGTGTCATTCTATGGGGGCGGGAGGATGTCAGGCATATAGAATAATAGAATAATGATTACATCGACTATATTATACGGGACGTGATGTTGGGCATTAAAAAAGAAATATTGTACAATGCATTCCTGTTGCAAAAAATTGCAGTTGTTAAAAGATTAATATTAGGAAAAATTAGGAAAGATAATATTAATGATTAAAAGATTGGGAATAAATTAGGCATGTAGTCTATTAACAAGAAAATAAGAGAGTGGATTTAAATGACATGGACATATTCAATGTTGTTTACTTATAAATGCACCAACGAAGAGAGAAATATTAATTTGCAATTTTGCATATAAGATAAGAAACAAACATGGAACGACATGATAAAAAATTAAATTAAATTTAGTAGAATATATGACCTATGATAGTCTTGATAGAAAATAGTGAATAAAGAGAATTCATTTGGCCATAGTCAGTGAGGACATGTAGAACTGGGATGAGAATGGAGCATACCTCACTGCATTCAACCCCTTGGAAATGGTCTAATTAAAAATATATAGTCATTACAAAATTGAGAAAATTAGAGAGGGTGATTGGATTTACTTATATATATATATATATATATATATATATATATATATATATATATATATGAACTGGGATGAGAATGGAGCATACCTCACTGCATTCAACCCCTTGGAAATGGTCTAATTACAAATATATAGTCATTACAAAATTGAGAAAATTAGAGAGGGTGATTGGATTTACTTATATATATATATATATATATATATATATATATATATATATATATTTATTTATTTATTTATTTATCACTTTCTTGATTTTGTAATTACAAATTATCTGTGATTGGACCAAGTCGGTAAATGGAGTTGACCTACTCACCGTGAGTAGGCAAATATTGTCCTTCTATAATTATAGTCTATTTGTGCATTTGTAATTGAATTATATCAACGATAAGTAGGGATGATCAACTAACTATTGAGTAGAAAAATCTCCTAACTACCAAAAAAAATTGCAAATACCTCTCTTCCATTACTTATTTTGATGAAATTAGATAAGTATCTTTAAAGAATAAGAATGTTAAAACAAAGTTAAGAAAATGATTTCGAAATAAAAACATTATTCATAAATTAGTTAAGGTCTTAGGATATATTCTTGAAATATTTCAACTTGTTTTTTCAATATTCAAAGTCAAGAAATTTTTTGCAGGAGAGTAACAAGGGTTATTTATTCTATTCTCTTTGAGGCCACTTTGGTAAAGTATCTAACTCAATAGGACATCTAGAATTAGAATTGCTAAAAGAACTTGGTAATTCTTATAGGCTTCTGTTAGATGAAAAAATAAAATAAAATAAAAGTGAATTGAATGAAAAAAAAAAAAAATTTAATGTTCTAGTATATAATTGATTAGTATGAAAATTGATTTAAAAAAATTATAGAAAAATATTATATTATAGTTTAGATACCTAAATTTCTCTTATTTTATAAAAATAGTAAAATAGTAAATAATTAATTTAAATTACTATTTATTTTATTCATATATAATGAAAAACAATAAAAAATAGAATTAAGTTAATTAAAACAATATAAATGATAAATTTATTGTTGGACTGCAATTTTTTAAAACCTCTTTACAAAAAATGTGATGATTTTAGTCTCCAAATATCGATAAAGTTGTTGGGTAGTTGTGTTTTTACTTGAAAATAAAATCTACTCGAATTTTTTTGCCGAAAACATTAAAAATAAAGTGTTAAGGGAATCCTTATTTTCTAGAACTTTTTTTTTTCTATCTATCTAACCTCTAATTTTAATAAAAATAAATAAAAAAATTATTTCCTATCTTTTTCAGTTTATTCTACCTAACCAAACTAAGCCTAATTTAATAATAGGCAGGGGAAAAAAAAAAAGGCTGATGATTCCAAAACTTAACTTCAATGGTCTTGTATCCTAGTCCTGATATTTGGAGTGCACCATATCTGTTTGTTTGAGCGTAAAACGGAGGAAAATAATTTCTCAAAACTTAACCAAAATCACTTATTAATTTATAATTTAAAAATCATTTTTAGAGCCTGTAGACACTAAAATTTTAGTGGGTTTTGGTTTTGACAAATTAACTCATTAAATATGGGTCAATGTTTAATTAAATTATTTAATTGACCCAAGCTTGGTCCACTTAAATTATTTAATTAGCCCAACCCAGATGGTTAAAT